CCCCCCCCCTTATTTAACCCCACACCTACGTTGTGGTTCAATGATGTGCAAAAGAGGCTTGGATCCGGTGGCGGCAGCCGCTCCGAGGGTTCGCACGCCACTTTCGGCCGCATCCATCACTCCCTTCAGCATGGGCACGCTGTCTTTGGTGCTCGTGTAAGCGTTGCAGACCGCTCCGCAAGCCGAACTCACCAGTGGCAAATTGCCGACTCGAGAAACAACATTCTAGGGTATATGTAAAAAAAAAAAAAAAAAAAGTCACAAAAACACTAATGCACAGCTTTTGTAAATTTGGTTTTAGGTCACGGTGCACCTCACCTGTTGCTCCCCGTTAGCTGCATCTGCAGCCTGATTCAAAAAAAAAAAAATGTCACAAAAACACTAATACATAGCTTTTTAAAATTTGGTTTTAGGTCACGGTGCACCTCACCTGCTGCTCCCCGTTAGCTGCATCTGCAGCCTGATTTGTCTTCTCGCTGTCTGCCATTGCTGTGACTCCTGAATTCAATCTGAAAAGAAGTATGAATGAAATACATCATCTGGAACAGTTCAGGATCAATGACTATTATGTAAAACAGTGAAGTTAAGTCGGCCAGCACTGCCGATTCAAAAGCAGTATTTTGGTAAGAGCGAGTTTGTTTGCGATCAGGGCAATTGTCAAAAGTGCATTTGCCTTATCACACCATAATTGCAATCGCGCTCTGTCATTGATGTGGTCAAGGGTGATGTTCTCCGCCGTTGCTGACATCACCCAGTGCACTCTGACTGCAAAATGTCATGTTGTTGCACCATCTTGGTTGGGCAACATGTTGCAACAGGCACTGTGTGATTACAAGTTTTATTACAAATGTGACTCCCTGATAAACTCACTTGAGAGGAGTTCTCAAGAAACTCTGCACATGTTCGACGGGAAGGCTGTTATCACTGACAGAAACAAGAATACTCCACCAAACAACACAAAATGAGCCTCATTTGACCTTTTAGAGGTTTTTCTGTAGTCTTGTTTTGAAATGAACTGCGAAGAAGATTATGATCTGTGCAAACGACCTTTGATTTCTATGGACCAACTGGCATATCAGCAACAAACTGATGAGTTACCTACAGTAGTAAAGTCGTGTCACAACGAAAAGCAGCATTTTTATAACAGCCATCCCTTATCTAAAATAGTGTTTCCCAACCTATAGTGAGCCATGGGAACCATTTTAGCCCTGTTTTTTTTAAGTGCTCGATAACTCAGTTTGAATGAACTAATATTCTTCGTCCTTCCTTTAACGTAGAGATTGCGGACGTCAAATAGTCCCCGAAACAGGGCGCAGTGTCACCACAGTAGTGACTCGGTAGCTCACTTCTCTTGCACTTTCTGAATGACGAACTTTACCCCAGATGACGAATTCACTATGAGTCAGTACGTTTGTCAGACATGTGATTTCGGATGGTTTAACAAAAGAAAAAAAAACAATTATTCACAACTTCTCACAGACTCGAAAAAATTAACACAATTGAGACACTGTATTGAGTTCGCGGATAGAGTTTATAAGGGCACGTGACGTCAATTTAGCGAGTTTAGCAACATGGCGGTTTAAAGTTAAAAGGCAGGTTGGTAGAAATGACAAGAACGGACCTTTCGAATATAAAAGGCCGAGTTTACCTGTTGCTCGTGGTGGTGGGTTCCTCGTGTGCTATTCTGTCCCGATAAGTTGGAGACGTTTGTTTTTGTCTGCGACAAAATTCTCCACTGGACCACTCATCGTGACCTCGTGACTTACTCCCAAAGAAGGCGGAATCAAGACTACGCTATGAACTTTTGACCAATCAAATCACAGCGTTAGTGTTTACGTCAGTCATCAGGAAAAACTACTGGTAATAAGACCCCGCCCACTTTGAACTTTTACTCGCTGCGTCTTTCAATGACGTCAGATTAGGAGAGCTTCGTTCAAACGTTCTTAAATCCGTTTATCATCACAATAATTGTAGATCATCAAATTCAGCATCATGTTTTACAAATATTTGGGTACATATATTATTTACAACAATATGAATTCATGTATTTCAAACTAATTTATTTTCAAAAATGTTAAACATTCATAAATGAAATATTTTGATATTAAAGTACTATCTATTTATTATAGGTTAATTCAATTACATTTTTATATTATATTAAATACATTTCTCTTTGAGAGATTATAATGACTAAAAAATGAATCCATCGTTTTAGTAATTATTCAAATATTTTCCACTGCGACTGATTGAAAAAATATTTTAGATGCTCACAAATTATTATATTAATAATCAATTCACCTGTCAATTATTTTTCAACTAATTGATGAATCAGATAAAAAAAAAATCTCCAAATTTCCATCCTTGAATTATACAAAAACAGGACATTGCACACAGGCTGGTCGCCAGTTGACTGAATACTGCAAAAGGACAAGCAAGCAAGCAAGCAAGCTTTTTATGATCAGCCATCAAAGGCATTGATTGGCACATTATCGGTCGCGGATCTCGGATTACACATTTTCACACAATCGGGACAATTAATTTTGTAGTTGTTGTCTTTTACGTGTTGTCTCCACTCCCGTCTTCTTCTTTTTCCTTTGGGTTGGTGGCAAACATTTTTCGTGCATTATCGCCACCTTCTAAATGGAGTGCAAGAAGGAAAGTGTTCAATCAGATCCAAAGTTTGGGATCACTTCAAAAGGACGATAAAATACCATGGGTACCATAACAGCACGGCTACGATACCAACGAAAGGTCACGGGTGTTGGCTAATTTGCTTGCCATCACGATTTCTACATATTGTGATTTCCCCGCGAGTGGCAAAACACAGCTGCCGGTGCATTTTCACTCGTCTTGACAAAAAAAAAAAAAAACAACGGTTCGAAAATAAACACGTAAAAAGACGTGGTCTTTTAGCACATAATGAACACGAAATAGGTTTCTCCTCTGTTGTTTCTTTTCACGTGTCGACTCTCACACACTCCTTGACGAAGAATCTTTTGGCACAATGTGAGCAAGCAAAAGGTTTCTCTCCGCTGCGCGTTGACAATGTGCCCTCGCCAAAGATTTTGGCGTGGTGATTGATCAGTGTCAAAAGAGTGAAACATCACATGGTGCATACTTTTTGGCTCAATGAAACATTGATACTCTTATTTTGCAAATAAAGTGGCACCTTGACTTACATCACGAAAGCCTCAAATTTTTTGAACCGTCGTTTTGGCTTGTGTTGGTTATGAGTGAGCTTTGGCTCCAGGTGTCACGAACTGGACTACAGATACCATACACACACACACACGCACACACAGACACACACACGAATACGACTACATGGACAGCAGTTTACACTTATAAACCAGTTTATCTAATTTCTTATATTGTGTTTTATCTTACGTTATACGACGCCAATATGATTTTTAATGAATAACACATAACCAAATATGATGATGCTTTTTATTTTTTATTTTTAACGAATTTAGCCTGTACGGCAAACTACCATTGCACTTTCGAAGGCTGGTATTTAAAAGCGGATGGTGGAGTTCGAAATGTGCCCTACAGGTGGCGGTAATTCCCCCAAAAGTTGTTTGCCATCCCACAATCAAACCGAAGAAGTAGAAGGAGCACAGCAGTTTGCTGAGCAGATTGCTACAGCGAAACAGCTCTGTTGGTGTCATTCACTTTTTGTTTCTGTCAGCACGCGTCTTTCGTTTTATAGTAAAAAAAACAAAACGTTCACGTCTTTTGAAATCTAAACTCATCAAAGTGGACTTTGAAGACGTTAGCTCAGGTTGCTGGCAACAAACAAACGGAGACACTAGCTTAGCGGCGAGCTAACGTCATCGTGTGAAAAAAAAATGTGTAAAGTGCGACTTCTGAGAACGTTGGTGAAGCAGCGACTGAACGTGGCCGTCGAAGAGATATTTGAACTGTTTGAGAGGACGATCGCAGAATTTGAGGAGGAACTTTGTCGTGGCAAACGGGGGAATGAGCAACGACAAGGCGAACTGCTGCTTGATGTTGTTCTCAAGCCTCACGAAGCAGGTTAGTGTAGTTGTTGTTCCCCAGTTCTTTTTGTTGCGATATATTTGACGAAAAAAAAAAGAAATGCTCTTCAAAGACGTTTGCTTCTCTCAAACGGACAATCAATACAATATTTTTTAGTGCGGCCACCTTGTAGTTTAACTTTGTACATTGACACACTGCTGTTTTCCTTGTGTGGTGCAGACGTGCAGCAGGTGTTGTTGGAGAGTCAGGAAGAAGATGAAGAAGAGGTTCCTTCTGAACAGCAGGAGAAGCCAGTCGAGGCCTCCCACGTTAAAGAGGAAGAGGGGGTGTGGCGCAGCCATTGTGGGGAGCAGCTTCAAGAACTCGGGGAAGAGGATGTCGACACGTTGCCTTGGACCGGTGTCCATGTGAAGGGTGAAGGTGCAGAAGGTGAGTCCTCTCATCGCTTCATCACACTCAAATGAATGAGAAGTTCAGGCAACACTGTGGAGGTTTCCACTAACAAACAAACAAATTTGCTCCACGATCATTTAGTGGTGAGATGAAGTCAATTGGTAAATCAATTAACAGAGTAATAGAAGAGTCAACTTTACTACTCTGCACTGACATTTAATGCTTATACTGCGCAATTTGCTTATTGAATGTTTTTTTTTTTTAATCTTGTTTTCCAAATCCTCCAACTTTCAGAGAACATTTGACTTGCCCGTCATCTGCCATCGGCAGACTATAAGACACATGGGGAGCAGCGAAATCTCCGGCCAACCAAAGTGACAGTCTTCAAACATCCGCGCAGGTCCGAGAGAAAAAAAGTTGTTTTGACAGTTTAAACTATTAATATCGGCAATCGCAAACATTTCAAGAAGGTGCATCGATTGCTTGCTGTTTTTTCAATATTTATGTTAGGGATCACTCTCTTGGCCCTCCCCAATCGCAATCGATATCACTTTTTTTCTGACTGAGTATGAGTACTCACTGATACAGATACCAAGCAACCGATACCACTAGTGCTTGTCATGCATAACATTTCTAAGATAATTTTAAAGAAAGACCTTTCGTTTAGTTTTCGTTTGGACTGCACTTAGTGCATGTTGTATTTACATAAAGTGTAATGAATTGAATTGTACATTGTGTGTTGTGATGTCCTCACGTCATCCAGATGTGCAGCCAGCGTTGGTGGAGTGTGAAGAGGATGCGCGGGAGTGCAGTTCCGGTGTGAGGCAAGAACCAAAACACCCCGACGTTAAAGAGGAGCACACGTGGATCGGTCAGGACAGAGCGCGGCTTCATGGGCTGGAAGACACGAATGTGATCACGTTCACGCTGACCGGTGTCCATGTGAAGAACGAAGAAGAGGACGCAGGTCGGCCGTCGCAGCGTCATCGCGGTCCAAGTGAGAAGTTCAGTCAGCACGTGACAACAGAAGCTGATGGAGGACACAGCGATGATCTCCGCTCGCAACCAGGCAACTTTGCTTCACTGTGCGATATGAACTCGATGTCACGCTGTCGCGACGCAGATCACAGCGACGACACCGCAGAAGCTTTGGAGACCAACGACCAGTCGAAAGGTGATACGACACATCACACCGGCGTCAAACACAGTGGGGAGAAACCTTTTACTTGCTCGGTTTGCGACAAAAGATCCTACGATAAGTTTGACATGCTAAAGGGTTGCGCTCAAGGTTTTACACGCAGATTGTATCTGAGACAACACGTGAAAATGCTCATTGACGTGTCCGCGCTGTCATAGTGAAATTTGAGCCATTCATCCAACCGTCTTCTATACTACAGGCGTTAGCCTGGATTGGTCGCTGTTAAATGATTTAAAAACCTTTAAAAAAAAATTCTAAACATATTTGTTAGCACACGGTCAAATTGCTAACTGAATCATGATGTTAAGCGAAGTTCCACCATCTGCTCATTAAATGACACCGTTCGCTAAAAAATGTCCACCCTGTCGGCAAACATTCCATTACAGGTTGGACATGATTCATGACAGTGAAATACATTCACATAGTTTAGGCCACAAAAAATTCCAAGAGCTATGGCACACAATATAATTTATTTTATTATTTTCATGATATTGGGTTTAGTAAGCCTGGTTTACTGGGGGCTGGTAATTAAAGAGTATAAGGGAACATATTGAAATGTCTTTTTCAAGGAATGACATCCAAAGGAGCCGAGATAGCAAGGAGATACCGGGAACGTCGTGATGCTGACCCGGACAGAAGAAGAAAATATCTTGAGAAAGAAAGGGACAAATGGAAAAAACAAAGAGAGACTGGGAAGAAGAAAAGCGTCCATGAACTCAGTGAGCTCGAAAAGTGGGCCATAAGGAAGAAATGGAGAGAGGCCAAAAGTCAAGCCAGAGCCCGAAACAGGGCCAGTGCGTTGCTGCAATCGGAAACGCCACCCAACTCCCCTGCAACTGCGAAATTCCCTGAAAATCATCATGAGCCCTTCAGGTTAGATCATTGAAAGTTGAGGTGACGAGGGTCGATTGATGTCAATGAAAATTACCAACTGTGTTATGTCCCCACATGATCACATGTTGACAAATAACTTGCTAAAATCATACAATGACGGAAATAGGAAAGCATTTGATGACAAGAAAATATTTTATTTTGTTATTTATGATTGTCTTGCTACTATTTTCAATATTGTCTGTTCTTCTTTACAGCACCTTGTCACAGACCTGGTTCTTGTGAAAATGCTATAGAAACAAAGTTGAGTTTTTTTTCATATCCCGTGAAAATAAAGCAATTATTCTCACAAATTAGCATAGTCATGTGTATGTTTTTGTTTTTTTAACAAATGTGGGCCAAATAATGTTTCCAAGTTTGACCACATATATAGTGAAACATAGAGTAACATAATTTCACGATCACAAGTGTATTTCTGAGAAAGGAATAAAGTTGAAGTTCGATGGCAAATCTTAGCTTTTTGACGGGCAAGTCTCAAAGGCACCTTCTCGTGATAAAATTCTGCTAGTTTAATGCTAACACATAATGCAAACCGACACAGGCAGGCTAATGGAAATTAGCATTGATAATACGTTAATTATAAACCTTCAAACAACTGCCACTTTAACACACACGGAGCAGCCACACATACAAACGGATTTTTTTCTTTGCCTGCTTTGCTTGTGGCAGTTTCTGGACCTGTTCATTAGTTGTCTCTCTGTGTCGCTAGATGGCGGCAAATCACAAAAAAAACGTTATTTGACAAACAAACCAGAAGAAGAAGAAACGTGCGGAAGTAACTCGCTGGTCACTAAGCGATCAAGCGCGCTGGACTTGAATCTAATCGATCGTTTCACCCTCGCCCCCTTTTTTTTTTTTTTGCTTTTACTGTTCCTGCACCACTGACACGAGACAAAACTGTCGCGCCGTTGAGCTTAAACGCGTCTACGCGAACAACTGAACAGGCGTTCGCGTTAGCTTAGCTTGCTAGCGGCCAACGACGTAAAAAAAGCGACGTTCAAATTGCCAACACGCCACCGAGCAGGGAGCCAACTCCATCGCCGCAAAATGTGTAAAGTCACCATATTGAGGGAATTAATGAAGCAGCGACTCAACCTCGCCGTGGAGGAAATCTATCAACTTTTTGAAAGAACCATAATGGAGTACGAGGAGGAACTTAGTCGAACAAAAGAGGAGAAAGAGCGACAAGGCCAACTGCTGGGCGCCGTTTTAAAGTCTCACGGTGGAATACCGCAGACTGGTTGGTGGTTCTACTCTTTATACACACACGTACACACACATGCCGTTGGTTGACGATGTTTTGCTGCGCTTGTGTGGTGCAGACATACAAGAGGTGTTGTTGAAGAGTCCTGAAGAGGAGCCAGCCGCAGCGCACCCCCTCATTAAAAAAGAAGAGGAGGATGTGTGGAACTGTCTGGATGGGGAGCAGCCTCAGTTGCCAGAAGTGGAGGAAGGGGAGGAGGCTGACGTCACATTCACGCTGCCCGACGAAGCTCACAATGAGCAACGACATTCGGACCCAGAGAGCACTTTCGCTCCGGTATCAGATATAGACGACGACTGCGATTACGGAAGAGAGGAATCCTTCCGTTGCTCGTTTTGTCACAAGATATTCTCGTCCAAAGGAAATATGAAGCGACACATGAAATCGCACCAACAAACACAGAAAACTTTTGCCTGCTCCGTTTGTACGGAAAGTTTCCCAACTCGAGGGCTGCTCCTTTCGCACAGAAGACGACACGCCGTCAACAGCTCCGACAACCAGAAGTTTGACTGCTCCGAATGCGGCAAAACATTCGCCAAGCTCGCCCGTTTAAACAGACACATGGCAAAACACACCGGAGAGAAACCTTTCGCGTGCTCGTTTTGCGGAAAGAAATTCACTTGGCATTATGCTCTGAAAAGACACATGAGATCACACTCGAGCAGGGAGCATTTCTCGTGTCCGGTATGTGCGAAAGGGTTCACGACCAAATGGTACATCGCGGTGCACATGAGAACGCACACCGGCGAGAAACCCTTCCAATGCGACGTGTGTCAGAAGCAATTTCATTTTAAGAATGGGTTTAAGAAACACACTTGCGTCGGAGACAACCAAAACGCAGTCAATGACGACGAAGGACAGCTGGCAAGCTCACGCGGTTTGTCTAATTGAAGTTTAAAAAAAAATGAAGTGTTTCTCGTGTTTTCATATTGAAATTCCTCACTCTAATTGTAATTTTTGCTTCTGAGCTGTTTCAATAGAAATGTCCTACAATGGTGCCCATATTGAGTTCAAATAAAGAGTTTTACAAAATGTTTTTTTGTATAAAATTTAAACTACGGTACAGGGTAACAGCCACGATGGTCGACTGATTAGCACGTCCGCCTCACAGTGCAGCGTTTGATTTCGACTCCGGCCTTCCTGTGTGGAGTTCGCATGTTCTCCCTGTGCCTGCGTGGGTTTTCTACGGGTACTCTGGTTTCCTCCCACGTTCCAAAACCCTGCACCTCTGCACTGTGAGGCCGACGCGCGAATCAGTCGACTACCGGGCAACCCTGGATGGATGCAGCCTATTAAAAAAATGAATGCAACGGAGAACCACGTTAACAATGCAATGGCGATAGACAGCCACAGGAGGGCAGTGTTTACCCACTCAAGAAACTTGGACCTGCCTCACGTGACCTGAAGCAGATCCGACATTAATATTGAACACTGCCGTGTGCTGTATAGCAAACATTACGAAAGGGGAAATAAGTGGGATGTCAAAGTACATTCGATGTGACAATATTGATGTACTGAATCCCCCCCCCCCAAAAAAAAATGGTTCCCATCGGATATAATGCAAAGTGAATTAATTTCAACCAATCACCATTAAATCTCTTTATTAACTTCACATGCAAGGTGTTGAGAAACAATTTTGGCATCACTAACTGTCAACTATCTAAACTACAGTCGATCTTCCATTTTATTAAAATTCAATGTAAAGTCAGCACAAATAGATGGTTGCGCCCCCCCCCCGCCCCCCTCCCTCGCCCCTTTCATACTGTATCAGCAGTGTTTTCATGAGTGAACAGTCCAAGCATCTTTTGGCTTGACACAGTGGTGTGTGTGTGTGTGTGTGTGTGTGTGTGTGTGTGTGTGTGTGTGTGTGTGTGTGTGTGTAACTCACTCCAACCTCGGGGTAAAAACCGTGGCTCTGCATCCACTGCCCACGCTCTCGCTTTTTCTTCTTTCTCCGCCCGGGGACACCTTGCGAGACAAATTAGCGATTGCGCGGCATTTAGCGAAACTCAATTACGCGGATGTAATTTTAGAAATGAGAAATAAACACAGTTGATTGAGACTGGATAAGGCCTGAGCACGGACAAATTAAACACAAGGCAACCCACCACCAATGGTGAATAAAATGTAAGATCCATGCCTTCAATTTGAAGCGGGCATTTTATGGAAAATTTACTTATTTTATTGCTTGTAAAACTGGCAGTGCCTGTGCGCTGAAATGATTACGTGAGTAATTTGGATAGGCTAATTAGCCAACCACTAACCTCAGCCGATAATAGCCATTCGCTGACATCCACGTCACTCACCAGGCTCGGTCCTGCTTTTTAAAGCCACACACATTCATTATCACAAACACGACAGTCTCGAGCAAAGATGTCAAACTCAAGGCTTGGGGGCCAAATCTGGTCTGTCAACTTGCTAAAATCTGTACCGAAATGTCAAATTGTCATGTGTAATAAATCACGTTGAGATTGTTGCAATAATTTTATTCTCCTGTTTACACTCACTTGAACAATAATTGAACAAACTATTTGAATTGACTGTTTTCAAAACTAGTAATCTATTAATTTTTTGAGCGTTTTTTTTTTTTTTAATGAGTCGAAATCCATTGGCTTCAGCGAGTATACTAGTCGGACTAGGTTATTTTGATTTGTATTTATTTTAATTTGATTGATTTGGAGAGTTGTAATGCAAAACCGGACATCTCTATTTTTTGTGGAGTGAGTAAAAAGCGTTTTCTTACATTTTTGGTTCCGGGTTTAAATTGAGCAAATAAGATAATAATTGCAGGGGGAAAAAAATGTCTTAATTTTTAGAGAAAAGGTCTTCCATCACAAAACCCGACAACTCCAAGATAATTTTCTTTAAAAAAAGTCCAATGTTTTTCACACAGCTACAATATTACAGTTTGCGATAGCTTAAATAGCTAAAATGCATGTGGCACATGTCATTTTGTGAAAAAACAAAACAAAACTCGAATTCCACTATTTTTCCATCTGAGTTGTTTTGCTTTGCAGAGTCGGTAAAATGAACGATGATGAGAAAAATCAATTATAAACAGCCTCAAAGAAATCCATCATGAGCAATTAATTTAATTTGTCGTTCGCGTTTGTCATCCTGTCTTGGGTATCAGGTGCACTGTCTCCAGATGACATTACAAACATTTATTAATTTGCCAGTTTCGCTCCCCTTTCAGCACAAACCTTTCATCGAACGGCCAGCAGCCTCGAAATTTGAGGAATTAATAGCCGAGCTTTGTTACATCTGCGCCACATCGATGGGAATCGTATTTACAACATCCTGCGACAGATTTCCCGAGGTATCAGTAACATATGACATGGCTACAAATCATCCGTAGCTTTGAAACCCGATAGCAACTGTCGCCCTGCTCCTTTTTGACCCTGCGGCGTATTAACATGACGACCTCTGTATTGCATTTTGCGGTTCACTGTATTCCGTGACGTTTTTATTTTCGTAAGACTGATGCGTTCTGAATTGGGAAAATTACAGAGAGCTCAATAGTTCTTTTTCATTCTTTTGAATTGTGTCACGATCGTATGTTGTTTTTTTTTTATATGGAGTGCTCTTTTTCGTTCTGCAACACACGACAATATATCTTTTCTTTTTTTCTTCTTCTTTTTTTTTTCTTCTTCTTTTTTTTTCTTGGTGAAGGCGAGAACACTTGAATGACATTTCTATTCATTTCAAGTGGGAAAGTGGAAATTGCAATTTGAAACTGAATGCAGTTTCCCACTCCGGGGTTTTGAATGCATCATTGACACTGGTCCTGTGGCAAGGTATTGACAACCTCGACGACATTCTATTTGGGTTTAGTTGAGCTCTCTTCATCCGGGACACAAACTTGGAAGGCTCCGAGTGAAAGCTCATAAAAGTAATGAAAGTCATTACCTTTAAGATTAAACTTCCTGCCAGTGCGGATCTTTAATCTCGGAGTAAAACTGCCCTGTGAGGAAAATGTAACTGGCTATAGACGTTTTATGAGTGCTGAGCCTTTCTGGCTTAA